TCGATCAAGTTGCAATGTGGTCACTAGTCTAGATGACTGAACATTGTGTGCACTATTTTGAGGTAAGAGAGTGGTTGGAGATAGTCAACATCAAACCCTGGACCTAGGTTCTGTGCTATTTGGTACTCGTCAGCAAATTGTATCTGTAATCTTGAGGGGACTGATATTCCTTGACGGATTCGATCCCATGCCACCCAACTTCACAGTTACAGACACGTTACCAGTGAGCTATTCAGACCGTGACTGACCTCCTATGAAACTGTGATGTATTTAAAATCTATTAGTCACTGGGTGGTAATCAATATCATATATATCTGGTTGCCTTCGTCAGATGAGATGGCTGGGATACGTGTTACGTATATCCAACCACCGACTACCTCGACGAACGATGTTTTATGGTGTAGGAGTAGGTTAGAAGAGAGCTAAGGACAGTCATACCAACTTACTTACTTACTTACGCCTGTTACTCCTCGTGAAAGAGCATAGGCCGCTCACCAGCGTTCTCCATCCAACCCTGTCCTGGGCAATCCTTTCTAGCTCCGTCCAGTTGCAATTCATCCTTTTCATATCTGCTTCTATTATCCGATGCAATGTGTTCTTCGGCCTTCCTCTTTTTCGCTTCCCTTCAGGATTCCAAGTTAGGGCTTGCCTCGTGATGCAGTTTGACGATTTGCGTAATGTATGTCCTATCCATTTCCATCGTCTTTTCCTAATTTCTTCTTCAGCTGGAAGTTGGTTTGTTCTCTCCCACACAAGGCTATTGCTGATGGTATCCGGCCAATGGATGATGAGTATCTTGCGAAGACAGCTATTTATAAATACTTGTACTTTCTTGATTGTGGTTGTTGTAGTTCTCCAAGTTTCAGCTCCATACAGTAGAACTGCCTTGACGTTCGTATTGAAGATTCTTACTTTGATATTGGTTGAAAGTTGTTTTGAGTTCCATATGTTCTTCAATTGTAGGAATGCGACCCTTGCTTTGCCGATCCTCACGTTTACGTCTGCATCTGAGCCTCCTTGTTCATCGATTATGCTTCCCAGATATGTGAAGGATTCTACATCTTCCAGAGTTTCGCCATCAAGAGTGATTGGATTGCTGTTCTCCGCTTTGAATTTGAGGACCTTAGTTTTCCCTCTGTGTATGCTGAGGCCTACTGATGCGGAAACTGCTGCTACACTGGCTGTCTTCATCTGCATTTGTTCGTGTGTACGTGGTAGGAGGGCTAGGTCATCTGCGAAGTCCAAATCGTCTAATTGATTCTGAGCTGCCCATTGTATTCCGTGTTTTCCTTCAGATGTTGAGGTCTTCATAATCCAGTCGACCACCAGGAGAAAAAGGAAGGGAGAGAGTAAACAGCCTTGTCTGACTCCGGTCCTTACTTGGAATGCATCTGTCAGCTGACCTCCATGCACTACTTTGCACTGTAGTCCGTCGTATGAGTTCCGGATTATATTGACAATCTTCTCAGGAATTCCGTAGTGTCGAAGAAGTTTCCATAACGTCCTCCTGTCTACACTGTCGAATGCCTTTTCATAATCAATGAAGTTGATGTATAGTGATGAGTTCCACTCAACTGATTGTTCGACGATGATCCGTAGTGTTGCAATTTGGTCTGTGCACGACCGATCCTTACGGAATCCAGCTTGTTGATCTCGAAGTTGGGCGTCTACTGCATCCTTCATCCGGTTCAGCAACAATCTGTTGAAGACTTTCCCTGGTATTGACAGTAGTGTTATGCCTCTGTAGTTTTCACATTTGCTCAGATCTCCTTTCTTTGGAATCTTGACGAGGTGTCCTTCTTTCCAGTCCATCGGCACTGGTTCCTCCTCCCAAATCTTTTTGAATAGAAGATAAAGCATGCTTGTGGTTGTTTCGATGTCTGATTTCAGTGCTTCAGCTGGTATGTTGTCGGGTCCTGCTGCTTTCCCGGTCTTGATTTGTCTGACGGCCATTCTAATTTCTTCCGTAGTTGGTGGATTGACATCTATAGGAAGATCTATGTGTGCTGCTTCGATGTCCGGTGGATTCATTGGAGCCGGCCTATTCAGGAGTTCCTCGAAGTATTCTACCCATCTGTTACGTTGTTGTTGAATTTCGGTGATTGGCTTGCCTTCTTTGTCTTTGACCGGTCTCTCTGGTTTACTGTATTTCCCTGATAGTTTCTTCGTTGTATCGTAAAGCTGTTTCATATTTCCTTCTCTCGCAGCTTTTTCTGCCGTCGTTGCTAGTTCTTCCACGTATTTCCTCTTGTCGGCTATAATGCTCCTCTTCACTTGTTTGTTTGCTTCTATGTATTCAGCATGTGCTTGGACTTTCTCTGCTCGTGTTCGGCTGTTGTTTATTGCTGCCTTCTTGTTCTTCCTTTCTTTGATCTTGTCCACTGTTTCTGTAGAGATCCATTCCTTATGATGGTATTTCTTTAGACCGAGAACCTCTTGACACGTTGAAGTTAATGCTTCCTTGATGCCTTTCCAGTTGTCCTCCATAGTAGTTTCTTCTTTCAGTAGATCTCGTAAGGCTTGGAACCTGTTGTTGAGAGCTATCTTGAATTCATTGAGTTTGTTAGTATCTCGAAGGAAGGCTGTATTGAACCTTTGTATTGCTGTTTGTCCACCTGTCCAGTTCTTTTTTAGCTTCAGTTTCAAATTGGCTACAACTAGGTGGTGATCTGAAGCTACGTCAGCACCTCTCCTGGTTCTCACATCTTCCATTGTCCTTCGGAATTTTTTGTTGATGCAAATATGATCTATTTGGTTCTCTGTAGTGTGGTCCGGTGAGATCCATGTAGCCTTGTGTATACGCTTGTGTGGAAATATTGTGCCTCCTATGACCAATTTGTTGAATGCACATAGATTTGCAAATCTTTCCCCATTTTCGTTTCTCTGTCCCAGTCCATGTCGTCCCATAATATCTTCATATACAGTGTTGTCTATTCCGACTTTGGCATTTAGATCTCCCATTAGAATGGTGAGGTCTTTTCTTGGGCATTTCTCTATCACTGACTGCAGCCGCTCGTAGAATTGATCTTTAATGTCGTCGTTGCTATCATTGGTGGGTGAATAACATTGGATAATATTCATTAAGATCCCCTTCTTCTTTGTTTTGAATGATGCTTTGATGATCCTAGATCCGTGAGATTCCCATCCTACAAGTGCATTTCGTGCTACTTTGGACAGCATAAGAGCGACTCCCTGAGTGTGTGGAGCATTGTCCTCTTCGTGACCGGAGTATAGCAGCATCTCTCCCGTAGCTAGCCTTTTCTGTCCAGCTTGGGTCCAGTGGGTTTCGCTGATTCCCAGTACTGCTAAGTTGTATCTCCTCATTTCCATTGATATTTGACTGGTCTTCCCGGTTTCCCACATTGTTCGAACGTTCCATGTACCTATAAAAATTTTTGCTCTGGTTGTTAGAAGGGGCATCGGCCTCGTGGCTTCCGAAGGAACTCGGCTTTCACCATGAAGCGTCATAATTCTTCTAAATGAAGACCTTCTAACTCCCAGGGCAGAGTTAAAATGGTTTGAATTATTTTTTCTGGTAAGCGTTTTTTAGCGAGTTGGTTTTCTACGGGATGGAGACGCTAACCCCATGCCCAACCCTCCTCCTTTACCCGGGCTTGGGACCGGCAGCAACCCTATAAGAGCTACAGGCGGAGTTCAGTCATACCAAAACATGGAACAAATCCACGAAGTTACTGACAAGTGGACTGAGTCATGTTGGTGGGTGTAGACTACTTGGTTGTAATCCCCAAAACGATAGCAAGCGATGGTTCGAGACGTTGAATGACACATGGCTCAAAATCGTTCGCAATGGCACAGGTGCATCCACTCTTTGTATTCTCTCAAATTCTAATCTTCTGAATTCTTCATGTCCTTTTCTTTTTTTTCCTTTCCAAATTTACTTTACTGTATTATACTCCTTGAATAACAACTTCAAACCCTAATGTTCCCGATTACTACTTATACTTTTATTATTTCTACCACTTTTGGATTGACAATTGTATCTGTGTGTTGATGTGGTATGGCAACTTGAACTGATGTATGTACCTACGTACGTGCGAAGTTCTACGTTGTTACTGACTGCTGAGACTTCTGACATTTGTCTCAAAACTAATACTTTTTGATTTCTAGTGATTTTGTAGGTGAATGGCACTGTGTCTCAAATGTTTTGGTCTTTACTATAAATTTTTACAGAAGTGACCTCAACTAAACCACCGCTGGTAATCTGGAAGCACTAGACAGCCATTTCATCCTATTATGAAGCTCAACAATGCGTATCCACGACCTTGCGTCCGGGAGTCGATCTCAAGACCGTTGGTTAGGTCTCTGTTCTATGATCTAGAGATTAGGAATTTGTGCATGAGATCAAAGGTTCTTGGTTTGATTTCCGTGTTCGTGATTGTGGATATATACAACTGAAGAGCCCCACAATAGGACGAAACTGCTATCTAGTGCTTTCAGGTTTTCAATTTTATTTATTCATTTATTTTAACACATAGATATTGGTACAAGGAGGCACCAATTACGTATGCGCCACATAAATCTCATTTGATATATGTGAAGGCTGTGATACTGCCCGGGTGCTCAAACTGAAACAGGTGGTTTTCTTAGGTGGCCACACTTAGAGCCTTCGAACTAAAGGTCTGATCCACATGGCAGTGGAGCAAGGCTAAGAGATGCAGTTACATGGTAGCCGGTGACCAACGATTGGTTCATACGCCAGTTGTTCCTTTAGGATACTGGATCCCATATGCACCATTGGTTTGGAATCAGGGTTTTCTAACTCCCCTAGATGGACTCTACATGTTCACCAACCCAGTTAAAGCGTCGGACATTCGTTTTTCGTCCTCTTAATTTCGTAAAGGACACCCCCACCACGAGAATGCAGTGAGTAGGACTTCCCTGGCAGAGGCTAGATTTTCTATAGTGGTTTAACATCAATCGATTCATTCTGTAATTTTCATTCATTCTTTTTTTCTTTTCTTGTTACATATTATATTTAGATTATGCATGTACGTGAAGCAACTGAATTAGATTTAATTCATGCAAAAAAAGAAGATTTAAATAGAACTATTCAATTATTTTATCAAAATCCAACAAAAATTCAACATCATATCTATGATGCTAATATTATAAATAATGATGATAATGATAATATTGATTTATATGATACAAGTATTACATCATCAATAGCACCACCATCACAACAACAACAGCAACAGCAACCACAGCAACAACAACAACACCATCAATCTTTATTGAAATTATCAAGTAAATCCAATCAAGATATTACTACTCTTATTAGTAGTAGTAGTAGTAGTAATACTACTACTAATAGTACTACTACTACTAATAATAATAATAATAGTAATACAATACAATGGATGAATCATAATTTTCAAATAATGCGTTTTCATTTAGGTAATGTATTATGTGATATATGTCATAAAAATTGTTCTGATTTATTAAATCCACCAAAAGCATTAGAATGTTTACAATGTCGTATGCGTATTCATATTGATCATATAGATAAACATGAAAAATTTGTCTCATGTCATAATGCTACAAATGTACGTTATATAAGAATGTCTAATTCAGCTATATGTAAATTATGGATTGAACAATTAATGTATTTACGTCAATATTTAAAAGAATTACAACAAACTAATGAACAAACCAATATTATAGATAATCATAATACTACTATTAATCATAATCATAATATTGTACATATGAATTCAATGAAATCATTATATCGTAGTATACGTGCTGGTTCATTAGGTCCTCCTTCTTTATCTAGTACTAGTACGCCAACGACGACGACGACGATGATGACGACAACAACAACAACGTCAATGTCAACATCAAGTACTTTAACAAATACTAATCAAAAATCTGATTTTCAATCTTCATTTCGTAAGAAATTAATTGGACCAATAATGAATGTTACCAATAATATTACAACATCTAATGTAAGTCATTTATTATCACCAAAATATAATAAATCACCACGTTCATTATCACCATCAATGAATAATTATCAAAAATAAATTATTTTATTCAATATCTTTATTGTGTATACTATTATTAGTTGCTAAGTATCATATCTTATCTTCTGTATTGTTACTATGTCGTTTATATTTAAAAAGAAATGAAAAGTGTTCTCTTCTTTTTTTTCTTTTACTTCTTACTTTATTTATTTTTTTTTGCATTACATCATACTATTTCTGTACATTTTTGTTAAAAAAGAAATTGTACAATCAATCATGTCTTCTTCCTACTTTTTTTCCTCTCCACTCCCTTACCCCCCCCCGAGAATTGTTGTAAAGATGCGTGTAGATAATATATGAAACCCTTTATTCTGTGATCCCCTACTTTTTATAGACCATACATTTATATATATATTTATGAGAATAAGATAGAAATTAATCTATTCACTTGTTGATTACCCATCCCAGTTATCATTATTGACAATATATATATATATATTCCTTGAGATTATCTCTGTTTCTCCCCCTCCCCTTTTGTGTGTGCGTGTGTGCATGTACGTGAATGGGAAAACACAAATATATATATATACATATATTTGATTCATAATTTGACAGCGGATTGATTAATTGATTGTTTTTTCACCTCCCTCCCTCCCATCTCATCACCTCCCCCCCTCTCTCTCTCTCTCTGTGTATGACACCTCATTCCTTTCATTTTTTTTTCATTATTTGTACGAAAGAGAAAAGAAAAAAAGAATAACCAATAACTAGTATAGTTTATTGTTATTATTTCTTTTTTTTTTCTTTCGAAAAAAATTCTTTTCTTTCTACTTTTCTTTTTATTCTTTACACATTGAATAGAATGATCATTTGTAATCTATACACATGGTTTTTTTTATGTGTATTGTGAATAAATAGTTTACTGTTTGTTATTATTTTATTCAGAATTTCTTTCATGTTAATATATATTGTGTATATGATTGAATAATGTAAAAGAGAAAAAAAAACAAATTATTAGTCACTATGCTGTTTTTGTGTGTGTGTGTATGTGTGTGTTGATTCTTGTTGCTACCATTTGATTGGTTAATTGATTGATTGATTGGGTTGAGTTGAGTTGGGGGGAACCAATGGAAAGATAAACATACCCCGTATACATACTAATTGTACATACGTATATATATATATCAATAGAAACTATACTATATACATTGATATTATAAAAGTTTATATGTTATATTGCTCTTTGGTAAATATTTTTACAGAATAACAATTAAATGTTTGTTTTGTTTTAATTATTATTGATTTTTTGTTTGTTTGTTTGTTATTCTTGTTATTATCACGGTTGGGATACTTCATCTGTACGAATAGAAGGTTAATAGATGAATATCTACATTAGATAGCTTATTTAGTATCTATGCTATAGGACTTTAATGTAACTTGAATCAAGAATATGTGATTAGACTTACTTACTTACTTACTTACTTACTTACTTACTTACTTACTTACTTACTTACTTACTTACTTACTTACTTACTTACTTACTTACTTACTTACTTACTTACTTACTTACTTACTTACTTACTTACTTACTTACTTACTTACTTACTTACTTACTTACTTACTTACTTACTTACTTACTTACTTACTTACTTACTTACTTACTTACTTACTTACTTACTTACTTACTTACTTACTTACTTACTTACTTACTTACTTACTTACTTACTTACTTACTTACTTACTTACTTACTTACTTACTTACTTACTTACTTACTTACTTACTTACTTACTTACTTACTTACTTACTTACTTACTTACTTACTTACTTACTTACTTACTTACTTACTTACTTACTTACTTACTTACTTACTTACTTACTTACTTACTTACTTACTTACTTACTTACTTACTTACTTACTTACTTACTTACTTACTTACTTACTTACTTACTTACTTACTTACTTACTTACTTACTTACTTACTTACTTACTTACTTACTTACTTACTTACTTACTTACTTACTTACTTACTTACTTACTTACTTACTTACTTACTTACTTACTTACTTACTTACTTACTTACTTACTTACTTACTTACTTACTTAATCCTGTGACTCCTTGTGGAGGAGCATAAACCACCCATTAACATTCTCCATCCAACTTTTTCTTGAACAGTTTTTACCAACTCTTTCTAGTTGTTATTCATCTTTTTCATATCTACTTCTATTTGCGACGTAACGTATCCTTTGGCCTTCCTCGTTTCTGCTTCCCTTCAGGATTCTAAGTTAACACTTGCAGTTTGATGATTTCCATAATGTATATTCTATTTACTTCCGTCTTTTCCTAATTTCGTCTTCAGGTGGAAGCTGGTTTGTTCTGTCTCACAGTAGGCTGGTGTTCATTGTATCCGGTCAATGGATATTGAGCATCTCACTTAGACAAGTATTCATAAACACTTGTGCATTGTTGGTGTTGGTTGTAGTAGTTCTCCACATTTAATCTTCGTTTAGCAGAACTGTCTTGACGTTCGTATTAAAGATTGTGACTTTGATATTGGTTGACAGTTGTTTTGAGTTCTATATGTTGTTCAACTGTAGGAATGAGGCCCTTGCTTTTCCAATCCTCACCTTTACGTTTGCATTGGATCCTCCTTGTTCATCGATGATGCTTCCCAAGTATGGGAAAGATTCCACATCTTCTAGAGTTTCTCCATCAAGTGTGATTGGATTGGCATTCTCCGTGTTGTATTTGAGGATAAAACTGACTCGAATGTAAATATATTTTGCACACCAAAAAACCGTCAACAATCACAATAGTAATAATAAGGTTAACAGAATATATAACTCATTTAGTAATTGTTAGACTATTTACAAGTTTGACTAAGCCAACAATATGGCGAACTGTCATCAGAATTGATTACCTCAAGTGGTGTTCGTCAGGGCTGTCCACTCTCCCCATTCTTGTTCAACTTTGTCATTGACGTACTTTTAGAGATAACACTCTCCTCATCTAAATTTACAGGGGTTCAACTTCTACCGGGAGGTTCACTTGTTGACTTAGAATATGCTGATGACATAGTTTTATTTGGCGAAGACGTTGACAAAATGCAGAGTCTTCTAACCACTCTAAGCAACAATACAAGCATGTTCGGGATGCGATTCTCCCCCTCGAAATGCAAAATGTTGCTTCAGATTTGGGTTACATCGACACCCGAACTAGTGATAGGGAATGAAGTAGTTGAGTGTGTCGACCGCTTCACTTATCTTGGAAGTCTCATTAGCCCTTGTGGTTTAGTGTGTGACGAAATCTCAGCACGGATACAGAAGGCTCGACTAGCTTTTCCCAACTTGCGTTATTTATGGCGTAGGCGAGATATCCGTCTATCAACCAAAGGACGTGTTTACTGTGCAGCAGTTCGTTCCGTCCTACTTTATGGCAGTGAAACATGGCCGGTAAGAGTAGAGGATATCCGTAGGTTACTAGTATTTGATCACAGGTGTCTTCGAAATATTGCTCGTTTATCCTGGGACTACCGAGTAAGTAATGCAGTTGTTAGGAAACGATGGCAAATCAATTGATGAAGTAGTGAAACTTCATCAGATGAGATGGCTGGGACACGTGTTACGTATACCCAACGACCGACTGCCTCGACGTGCGGTGTTCAGTGGTATAGGAGTAGGTTGAAAAAAAGCAAGGGACGGCCAGATCAAAACATGGCACAAGTCCATGAAGTCACTGACGAGTGAACTGAGTCATGTCGGTAGGTGTAGACTACCTGGTTAGAATCCACGAGACGATAGCAACCGATGGTTAGAGACCCTGAATGACATGGCTCAAAATCATTTACAATGGCGCAGGTGCATACACTCTTTGTGTTCTGCCAAATTTTGATCTCCTTATTCCTCCTTGTCTCTTTTTTTTCTCCTCTCAAATTTATTTCACTGTATTATACTCTTTAAGTTATATCTCCAAACACTAATCTTCCCGATTGCTGCTTATACTCTTATTACCTCTACCACTACGGGATTTGAATCGACTACTGCATCTCTGTGCTAATGTGGTGTGACAACTCGAACTGATGTACGTACGTACGTACGAAGTTCTACGTTGTTACTGACTGACTAAGCCAACAATCAATCATTATCATCCTCACGTACACATTAATTCGATAGTGATTTTCAACAATTGTTTATTCATAATCTCAGTCAATAATAAATAATCTAGGATACAGGGTATCCTAACATTAGGTCTACTGTGTTACTTTAGCTAATATTAGCTATAACTATATTAATTATGATAAAATGAAAATAATATGTTAGCATGTTGTTGGGGACGTTAGATCCTCAAAACTCATATTTTGTAATTTTATCTTTGTGGAGCTTGTATGCAGATGTATGCTTGGGCATTTCTTATCACTCGCGCACATAGTCGATTGACGAACTTATCGATTAAATGTTTGAAAAATTCTTTGGCAATATCGATCATATATATTTTGTATAAATACGCTTGATTTGTGTGCTTGAAGGACCTGGTATTTCTGGTTGTCTATAGAATACACTTTCTACATCTTGCCAAGAGTTCTGGATCGAGTTAGCTGAGTCGGGAACAACGAACCAGTATAGCCTATTGAGTCTCTGAATCTTTGATTCTTCGTTCCGTTCCGAGTAAGACGAATCAGTAGTAGCATTCAAGTTTAACGAACATAATACATGTGATAATAAAAGGTATTATATTTTGAAAAATCCGAGTAAAATTGTATGTATGAACAAATACTGGAACTCATAATGATTTAGATTTATTTGTTTGAATACATGAACATTGGTACAAAGGAGCACCAAATAGATATGCGCTATATAAATCATTTGATTTGTGTGATGGCTAGGATACTGTCTGGGTGTCTAAACCGAAGCAGGTTGTTTTCTTAGAGGGCCACACTCGGGGCCTTTGACCTAAAGGTCTGGTCCACAAGCAATGTCAGGTGTAATCCCATGTTAGCCGGTGACCAACATTAGGTTCATATGCCATTTGTTCCTTCAAGGTCCTGGAGCCCATGTACACCA